TATATATATTTTTTTCATCTGAAAAATGATTGCCTATGACTTCAAGGAACAGGCAATGACAATGAAAATAGACAAGTGGTGTCCAATAAAGAAAGTTCTGCACAACAGGACTATAAACAGAGTGAATAAACTATACAAAATAGGGGATGAATAACCAAAGTTTCTTTTGGATGTCTGCAACTAAACAGCACTAAGGGAAAAAATTTTGTTAAAATGTGCATAGAAATTGATCAGACATTTTCAAATGAAACTCTGCAGATGGCCAAAGGGTAAATATGTAAGGTTCTATTTCACCAATATCTCAAAATTGCAAATCATATTCAAAATGCGACTGGACTCCTCAGATGTTAATAGAACAGCTACATTAGAAAGAAAATGGGTGTTAGACACACGAAGGACAAGAAACCTTGTACATTGTTAAGAATGTATATCATTACAGACATCACAGGACACATCGAGTAGACACTTCCACAAAATTCATAGAAAAAATTTGCTTATTCATTTATTATTGATTTTCAATGACATTTTATTTCAAATTATCTGAGTAAATATAGATTCATTGGTACTGTAGAAACAAAAGTGAAATACAAAAGCAAGACTAGTTACACTGAGGAATGAACAGAAACTCAGAAAAATGCCATTGGTTTAGTGAGATTTGTGATGAGAGGAAGAAAGACATGATGGGCGAGGAACTTTGCCAGCTATGACAACAGAAGTTTGGACATGTAAGAGCTAATGGGAAAAGTAATTTAAAATAGATCAAAGATCTTAATGTAAGACCTGAATTTTTGAAACTACTAGAAGAAACCATAGGGAGAACCTTTGAAACTGCTAGAAGAAAACATAGGAAGACCTGAGCACAGACAATGACCTTTTGACGAAAATCTAACAGCTCAGGAAATAAAGCAAGAATCGACAAATGGGACCAAATAGAAGTTAAAAGCTTCTGCACAGCAAAAGAAACAATGAATAGAGTGAAGGCTCAGAGTGGAAGATCTTTTTGCCAGCTGCACATCTGAGAGGGGATTAATGTCTATAAAATACAAAAAAGAACTAGAAGCTTAAACACAAAAGAACAAATAACTAAATCAATGGGCAAAAGAACTGAATGGACAGTGCTCAAAAGAAGAAATAAAACAGGAGAATAAATACGTGAAAATATTTCTCAATATCTTTAACTATCAGGGCATGGAAATCAATGGGGCACTGAGATTCCATATTACCTTATTCAGAATGTCCATCATCTAGAAAACAAACAGCAAATACTGGTGAGGATATAGGGTGAAGTAAGCTTTCTCAGCACTGTTGATGAGAATGTCACTTAGTCCGGCCATTGTGAAAATCAGTATGGAAATTCCTCAAAAAATGGAAACTATAACTGCCACATAATCCAGCTAACCACTTCTAAGTGTATATCTGAAAGACTCAAAGGCCAGCATAGACACACCTGCACATCCGTGTTTACCATGTTATTATTTACAGTATTCTAGTTATGAATTCAATCTTGGTACTCATCAGCAATTGAAATGGTAAGGAAAATGTGGTGTCCATGTACATCATGGAGTATTATTTGACTATAAACAGCACAATCATGTTTATGATCATGTTCAATGAAACAAACCAGACACAAAGACAACTTTCATATTTTCTCTTTTAGTAGAGAAGAAGTTATTTCGAAAGAGGAAGTGTGTTCATGGTAGGAGGAGCAGGGACAAATGTGGGAAATAGAATTTGTGTGTAATATACATGTATGACCATGTATGAAGATGTCATAATGAAACACATTATTTTCTACAATTAATATGTACTAATTTAAAATTGTTTTCAAAAAAGACTGGCAGAAACATGGTGGTAAGGGTGATTATAGCATTAGATTTAAAAAATAAAATAAAATAAGTGAAGTTAAGATTTAAAGACACAAGCTTTTAATCCCAGTATTTGAAAGGGAGAGGCAGGCATAGGTCTGTGAGATTGAGGACAGCCCAGTCTACATAATGAGTTCCAGTTCAGGCTAGCAGGGGCTACAAGGAGACCCCGTCTCAAAAAAAAAAAAAAAAGCAGGGGCTGGAGAGATAGCCAGATAGCACAGCAGTTGAGAACACCTACTGTTCTTGCAGAAGACCCAGGTTAGAATTCCAGCACCCACATGGCAGCTAACAACTGTCCGTAACTCCAGTTCCAGGGGATCCAACAATCTCTTCTGTCCTCTGCGGGCATTGCATGACAGGGGTGCACTTACCTACATGCAGGCAATGCATGCATACACACAAAATAAAAATAATAAGTAAAATATTTTAAAAAATCAAAAACAAAAAAAAAAAGAGGAAGAAGAAAACCGGCCATAACAGATAGGAGCCACAGGGTCTTGGGGGAAAGAAAGGACATCTCCAGGAAAGGAGGGAGATAAGAGAGGGACAGCGGTGAGGAAGTGTGCAAACGGTGGGAGGAATGTGCAGAAAGTTCCACCTAGCTTGTCTCTATCAATTGTCTACACTGAGGGAAATGTGAGCCAGAAATGTCACAGGCTGAGGGAGGAAGTAAATGTGTACAAAGCAATGTTCAAATGGAATCAACAGGAATAGGCACAACATTTGCTGGGCAGGTTTTAGGGCCAGGCCAGCACCAGGATGGTTCATTTGTCAGACCTCATTCTGTTGGCTGGTGTTCACTTTCTTTAGCTGTACTTGGAAGTATGAGTATGAGGGTAGGATTCAATAGGCTTAAACTTAGATTTCACTAGAAGTTTCAAGGAAGGAGAAAATGAGACCTGAAGAGACACAGCAGGAAAGGTTCAAATATTGAAGCTTTAATAGAAGGAAGTGAAGGAAGGCAAGGACCATGAAAAGAAATACAGGAGTAAGGGACAGCGTGTCCCAGGGGGATGAGGGATTAGAGGTGGTAAGAACGCAAAGATAAGTGTGTGATCACATATAGCTCAGTGGTTTAAAGGCATATACTGCTCCTGCAGAGCACCTGGGTTTGATTCCCACCATCCACGTTGCATAATTTGCAACCATCTGTAAGTCTAGCTCCAGGGGATCTGAATTCAACTAGTAGACAAAAGGATATTTTTCTCAAGTAAGTATCTGCAGCGCCAAATTCATTGTTACATTCTTTACAATACCTAAAATAAGCAAACATTCGAAATGTCTACTGCGGTGATTTGAATCTCCTCCATCAGCTCTGAGCGTTTGAACATTTGGCCAGTTGGTGGTGTTTTGAAGGGCAGATGATGGAACCTTTCGATACAGCCTTGGCCTTGCTGGAGGAAGCACATTACAGAGGGTGGGTTTTGAGAGTTCAGAGCCTTGGACCATGTCCAGTTCCTCTCTGCTCTGCTTCCTGTGCCCACTTGAAGGTGTGAGCACTCAGCTTTCTGCTACGGATGCCTCCTGCCATGATGGACTCTTATACTTTGGAAATATAAGCCAAATAAACTCCTCCTTCTATAAGTTGCCTTGGTCATGGTATTTTATCACAACAGAAAAGAACTAATATATCTATTCACAGATGAATGTTGAAAATAAATGCCCCTTTGCCCCTCCCCTCCCCCTCTCCTGCTTCTTTTTGCTTTCTTCCTTTCTCCCCCTTTCCCTCAGTGCTCTCTCATTTATCCACAAGCAACCACACTAATGTGACCAATCAGATACAAATATACAAACATACACACCAAACTGATGAAGATATAATAAAACTAAAGAAAGCACAATTTTAAATTAAATATTTATTTAAAAGCACATGTTAAAAAGTGGGATTTCAATTGGATCCCATTTTACAGAGTATTATGAAGATACTGCAAAAATTCTGTGCTAGCTCTCACACAGTCCAACTGAAGTTGAAGAGACAGATGGACATGTTATATTTGATTTTTCTCAGGTTAGAATAATGTTGCAATTTTTGAAGATAGTTAGAAATTCTTGATGTCAATAAAGTTGGAGATACATCAGTTAGATAGCAAGTTTGACTGAACATATGTGTAGACATTCCTAGTAGAAGCCATAGGACCAGTACCTTCCACAGCCCAGTGGGCGGCAGCCCCTGTAGCCATAGCCACCATAGCCACCATAGCCACCATAGCCACAGCCATAGACATAGCCTAGGCCACCATAGCCATAGCCCAGGCCTCCATAGTAGCTGCCATAGTAACACATGGTGTCAGGAATGGACTGTTCAGTTGAGGACCAGCAGTAGGTTCCTGAGTCTGGATGTCTCCATCTGCCCAGGGCCTTTTATACACCTGAGTGGTTGCCTGGGAAACCACAGTTATTCCAGCATCATGCATACATCTCTGCTTCATAAAACATGATGAGTACTGTGATTTCCTAAACAAACAAGGCCTGCATATCTGAGGTAATTGTGCTCTAAAGTCAAGATTCTACAGTCAAGTCATGGAGGCCTGAACTAAAGCTCTTGTTCTGTTTTCAAAAGTCTGGCTCATCCTGCATTATGCTATCCTTAGTTTGTTGAATAGATATTACTTGATTGTGTTATACAAAACCCTCAAATAGTTTTTTTTCTTTAGTATTGTTTTGCTTTCCAATAATCCACAGGAAGGATTTTTGTGTTTCCTTTGTTTGCTTGGTGGTGTTCATCTGAAATGACTCTTATGTGGATGGACGTGTCTCCTGGGCCTTGGTAATGCAGTATGAACTAGTAGTGTATTGATTATATTAATTCATAAATACTATTGCATGTAAATTTATTTGATGTTTATTTCTCAATCAGATTACCAATACCAAACAGAGAATTCTCCTCCCTGTGAAGGTATATATAGTAAGTTCAGTTGTGAAACACACTAAGTTTGAGTTGTGGTGTGCCATCCTCAACTCTGATGCATTTATTAACTAAGGTTCCCATTTGTATTATAAATGTCCCACTGTCCCACTGTCCCATAACAGTGGCATACACCATGTCCTTCTTGGCAGTTTGTAACTGGTAGATAAAGTATTATTAGATACACAAATACTCAGTTATACAATTCCTCTTTTGTTTTAAAATTACTTAATTAAAAACTTAAAAAATATAATTTACTTAATAAGATTTTGCCTATCATAAGAGTATAAATTTATGGTTTTTAAAGATGAACAGATAGTTCGATATAAATTATGTATCATCCCTCTAAGTGTATAATAACTTTTGCAAGATTTTCTAATAAAGGGAGAGACTTCCATTTTTCATCTGCACCTGCTGGATTCAGATTACTCCTGTCTCCAAATCTTGTGTATTATTTACTATTTTCATTGCTGTTATAAAATTCCTCATAAAAGAAACTTAAAGAATGAAGGATTTATTTTGGTGTATGATTTATTTCTATCCCTGTAGTTTGAGGATACCCATTATTACAAGGAAGGCATAGAGACAGGTGCTTGAGGCATCTGGTCACAGTTTACATGTGGTGGGAAAGCAGAGAGCAGTGGATGCTCATGATTAGCTCATTTTCAACTTTCTGTTCAGTCCAGGACCTCAGCCTGTGTATTGGTGTCACCTACATTTAGCGTATATTTTCCCACCTCACTTAATCCATAGTAGAAAATATGGGATAGATATGCTTAGAGGTTGTTTTCCTTGGTGATTCCTAATCCAATCAAGTTGATACTAAAGGTTGACCGTCACACGCAGCCAGCTGTACTTTCTTATCATTGAATACTGAAACTAATGATAGGTGATCTTCTAGGTGCTTTTGGTATGATAAAACACTGACCAAAACCAACTCGGGCAGGAAAGAGTTTATTTCATCTCACACTTCTAAGGCATAGTCCATCTTTGAGGGAAGTTAAGCAACAAATCAGGCAGGAAGCTGGAGGCAGGGACTGAAGCACAGACCATGGAGGAACAATACTTTCCTTCCTGCTCCTCTGGTCTATGCTCAGCCTGCTTTCTTATACAACACAAGACCACCTGGCCAGGAATTATTCCTACACAAAGGGCTGGACCTTCCCACATCACACATCAGTCAAGAAAATGTCCCACAGACATGGCCACAGGCAAATATGGTAGGGAAAATTACCCACTTGAGACTCTCTGTTCTTAAGTTTTCAAGTTGACAAGCCAAGCCAAACATGACAAGGTGCACATTCGTGACAACAAGGCTTCTTTCCCTGTGATTTTAATTTAGATTATTCTTTGAGAAGAATTCTATGGGTCTCTCAATGTCTTTCCAAACCCAAGTATTATCTTTTTCATCTTCCTGTAATGCCATCTTAACATGACATACCATCATATAATCTGAGATCTGCTTTGTTTCTGTGTCCCCTTTCACTATTGGAGTCTTGTTCACGACACAGGGTGATAGGGATACTGAAAGGATAGAAGGGTTGCCAGTGTCGCAAAAGCAACATAAGTATTTTCTGTCATTTAGAAAATAATTATGTTTACTCATTGAGTAAAAATGTTTATCTAATGCTACATACATTATGTATATGTTCAAAGAAATAAGATAGATTTTCAGTTAATCAAATAATGTTTGGCATACATATTCATCAGAATTTATAGTTTTGATTTTTCCAATGGTATGATTAGAAAAGGAACCTTAAGGTAATGTGTTGTAGTTTGTTGAAAATCAAACAGGAAGGCCACTTAACAAAAATTAATATTTTGTCTGAGTGGTATCATATTATATAAAATTGTTTTCTCACTGTTCTAGTTTCTCTCTTCATTACTGTGACAAAATACTCTGAACACTACCAACTTGGGGAGCAAAGGGTTTATTTGTCTTACGTCTCTCGGGTCACAGTTCATCAGGGAGCCCAAGGTGGGAACTCAGGGAAAGAAGCTGGAGGTAGGAGCTGGAGCACAGGCCATGGAGGAATGCTGTCTACTGGCTTGCCCCCTAGCCCCTGCTCATCCTGCTTTCTTATGTATCACAGGCCCATCTGCCCAGGGGTGGCACCACTCAACAATCAAGCAGGTACCCATGGACATTGCCACAGGCCACTCCAATGAAGGCAATTCCCCAGTTGAGGCTCCCTCAACCCAGGCGTGTCAAGTTGACACTAGTGCTATCCAGCACACTCACATTAACTTCTAAATACAGTAGATATTCTTTGGAAAATGATGGAATAACTATTCACAGTCACTTTGGGTGATTAAAAAGAAAGGTATGTAATCATAAAGTTTGAGCATTTGAGCCATGGATATATAGGAAGCTTGCAGTGACTCAAGGCATTGAAGACTGTTATGCTGAGGTAGTGTCTTGGTCTGCTTTCCATCATGTAATGAAATTCCTGAGGTCACTATGTCAAAAAGGCAAAATTTCGTTTTTGTTCACTTTTGGGAGAGACCTAATCCATGATTTAATCCCACTACCCTTTGACCGGATAGCACACCATCATGGGAGTATATGATAGAGTAAAGCTTCTCACCTCATGACCAGAAAGCAAGGAAGAAAATATTTTGTGGCATAATCTTCTCTGGGAGTTTGACACCATGACCAAAGAATCTTCCAATGGATCTCACCTTCATCCAAGGGTATGAAACTGGGGACAGAGAGTTTAGTACCCATTCTTTTGGGGAGTTTTCAGATCTAAACGATAAAAGTTGATAAATAACAGATCCTTTCTGGCTTTCAACACCAAATATTAGAAAGCCAGCAACCACTAAATAGACAATTGTATCTATACACTACTTGAAAATCACAATGAAGATAGAATCAGTTGAGGTGTGAGGGAGAGAGTATTGTTTGCTGAGGTGAAATGCTAATAAATTAAGCTAAGATTCACAGTATCAAGAAACAGCAGTCTAGGGCTGTTTTATATATAGGCTTAGGAATAAGAAATATTTTGGTCAGAAAAACTGTCATTTAAAAATTGGAAAATAAGCTTATGTTGGTCATTTGATCATATACAGCAAGAGATTCTGAATTATATAAAGGCCCTTTTCAAATGATCTATCCAAAAGAACTGACATGAAGATCCTGGAATTGTAGGTATAGCAAAACATGAGGAGATAGTCAAGGACCCTCTTTTTCTTTGTTCTTGGGAATTTGTCTCTGATTCTGTCTCTGTCTCTCTTCCCTTATCACTGTCCCTTCTCATATACCTGCAAACACACACATACGCACCCACACGAGAAAAGTCCAGTGGATGTAAGCTAAAATAAATATAATGAAAATGAATCACAATGTGCAGGGTATGCAGTTCATTAAATATACGTATTTTCTGACGAGAACTATAACACTGGGACTGGAGAAATGGCTCAGCAATTAAGAGCACTTACTGCTTTTGCAGAAAATGGAGTTTTGGTTCACAGCACTCTTGTGACCAATCACAGATAGCTGTAATTCCAGCTCCAGGGGACCCAGTGCCCTTTTATAGCCTCCATGGGTACCAGGTACTCATGTGGTACATACACATACTTGCAGACATATAATCATACACATACAATCAAAGCAAATAAATCTTTAAAAAAGAACTATAATGTCAACAAAACAAAAAGTATAAACATCTTCATTTAATTTAACCAATGAGGAATGCTGAACTACCTTTCCCAGTGGAAAGGATAGATGTCCAACTTGTACCTTCCAGAAAGAATACTACTGCCTAACACAAATCTGTGACAATAACAGGGTGTGCCTTATTTTGATACTTCCTTGTTTTAAGAGAATCTTCCTTTTTGTAAAGCACTGATGACTCTTGCTGTATTTAAGATGCTAGTAAAGAGCTTTTGTTCTTACGTTAGATATGAAGATATTTACTTATTGTTCTTGTTATGTGTCAGTTGCCAAAATGTTATTTTAATCAGGCATAACCCCTAGAAAAAGTTTTCATAGAACTACCACCAAAGTTTCTGTTTTGCCAAAATGTTAAATATAAATAAAATATTCTTAAGTCTGTCCCTGACAGATTAGATTCAAATAAGTGCCCAATGTAACTCAAGATGCCCTTCAAGAAAAAGTGTTAATGCCGTGTGAGCCTTCACCAACTTGAAAGTCCTTCCTTGCCTGTTAAGTGCTATAGATAATGCAACCCCTTCAGGTTTGGAATCTTTCCAAGCGGCTGGAGGTGTGAGCTAAACTCATACCCGTAGATGAGACAGACTTTACCCAGCAGTTTGTCAACATGTGTAAGATGTCTGTGAACATGATCATTACCTGGCCCAGTCCTTGTAGACCAGAGCTTTCTGAAGACTGTTCATTGTTTTCACTCATATTCCA